GTGAGGATTCACAATTTTAAATAAAACACAGCAAAGACAGTTTAGTAATTTGGCAGCTGCAGAACCTTGGCCTTCAGCCTGATCAATCTCAAATATAATTTCTTTTGTTTTCCATCATACCAGCTCTTTGGCTGGCTGTAATCGCTGTTTGTAAGAACAACTCTTAAAAGCACGTTTCTCTATACTGGACTGAACACACAGAGACATGCCACTTATAAAACTGCCAATAATAATGTAATGTGTATTAAATAAAGCAATATCTGTTTCTCATGCAGGTCACAGAAGAGTTGTTGAAGTGTTTTAAAACTATAAGCAGCAAAATTATGAAATCTACATTAATTTATGAATAATTTTGACATTGTGACTTGCTTTCATATAAATGATCTGAAAAGGAATGAATGTGAAGGAATTACGTAATAATTTTTCTTTCAGGGATGTTTGAGATGGTCCTACCTAAGCTTAGAGCACCATCACCTACTGTTTATGTCAGTTCTGTATAACTGATTCAACAGTTGTGAGCATGACTCTTCAAAACTGCTTCTGGATTTTACTCTTTCGACGTTCAACGAGTCTGTCTTCATACTCTCAAAAATATTACATTTGTAAAACTGCTAAAGCAATCCTAGAAAACATTTTTTGCTCATGTGCCACATGAGCAACTTCATTCAAGGCACTGGGAATCCATGGTTTATCGGTTTAGTACTGCTACATTGTCACACGTGGCTTATTTACTAAATATAACTAAATATAACACCACTTAGAATCTCATTATATTTGATTATTAGTGTGTAATATCCCATATGGCACTAATGCTTTAACTTAATAAATGTGAATCACTAGTCACTGGGCAGATGGGGATGGGGTTTGAAAGCGTTATGAAATCTGAATCAGTTCATGGTTTATAAAGTAGTATTTGTATTTGACTCACTAAACAACTAAATAAAAATTGCAACAATTTGTGTAAAAAACAGTATTTACAAATGTAGCCTTTCTAACCATGTTGATAACATATTTGGCCACTGGAACTGTGATTACAGACCATTTACCAGACAGTCTGACACTTCCAAAAACTACAGTAATGAACTATCAAAACTATACTGTGGACATTTGGCTGCGCTGAAGGAGTGCGGGGCTTTCACTACGTTTTATGCTCTGTGACATTTATTACCACTGCCTTCACTCATGTTTCTGTGTGCTGCATTTGCTCCTCACTGGGGGCTGAGCTGCTGCTGCAGAAGCCGGGGAAGCTCAAGTAAAAATACTACAGTGAAATTAATATGGATTCTGCTACTGTGAATATCAATTTAACTAATTGGTGATATTTTACATGCACTACGAGCTGGCTGTTGCACTGTACTTTCTCTGACTGATTAGCCTGACCCGAGTATAACAAAAATCTCTCATGCAACCTGCATGCAGTTCATCTCGACTGGGTAGGGGGAAAAGCCTTGGAAAGCAACAGGCAGCAGTAAACTGAGGGATAAAAGGAAAAACATGGAGGAAGCTATTAGCAGGCAACGCACGGATTTCAGCCTTATGCATGTTCTGGATCTCGTCCAGTTGGCCAGTCGTTTAGCTCCTAGCCCACTAAGGCAGTTTATTTGTCCTACATATGGCACAACAGACAGGAGAGTAGTCCAATGTCTAGTTTTTTCATCCTTGTTAGTTCTGACATTCAGATAATTAAACCACTAACTTAATGAATTGTTGTCATCCTCCAAGGGGACACTCTGCCCAAGCAATCTGATCTGGCATACTGTTATGTTCCAGTTGTACTTATCAACAGTACAGCTCAGCCAGCCAGCCATGCTAAACTGAAACATGCTTCGATGTCTCTACTACTTTGCTGTTGATACAAATTTACAGAAACAGCTGATCATTTCCATGGTCACTGAGTATAATGGATATCAAGCATGTATTTAATGGACAGATGTATTAGTATCTGTTCACTGAATACAGTAGCTTTATGGCTATTGTATAGCCTCAATTACTGGAAAACCAAAATTGGGAGGTGCTGCATGCAAGCAGCATAACAGCTCTCCCTTGCACAAGAGCAGACACTTGAAATGACATGTTATATATTATAGTTCTACATTATGTTCTATTGTCACATGCATTTGTCTTAATGTTCAACCAACGTTCTTATGTTGAATTAATAAAAGAATAATTCCCATTTTCTACCTTAGATATGTACATTTCATAAACATCAAGAAGCTGTGTCAACTTTACATGTCTGAAAGGAACATTCATTTCAATAAGTAATCAAAATGATCAACTCAGTAAAGGATGGGAAAATAATGCATCATCAAAATGTATGTACCAGTGATTCTACAAAAATTAACATATTAAACCTCTGTCAAAAGCTGTGACCTATAACCCTTTAATTTATCCACTATGCATTAACTGTAGACCTCAGAGTGACAATGAACAACAATATCCTTGGAGTACTACAGAGAGAATTTTACACACAGTCAGTTGAGACACCAGCATATGTCATTATCCCAAATCAAATTACATTTCTCTCTCTGTAGACCTTGGTGTCAGCTTATCATCCAAGAGATTCTACTTACAGCAGTGTTCCAGTGATTTCTTGCTGCACCTTTATAAAGCTGGGGGACTTGAAAGAGATAGAATGTAACAATCAAAGCAGCAGCAACTGAGATATCCTGACTTTTAATCCCTAGTATGACAACATCAGAGTTATTTTCTCACTCCCCCTAGCTTCCGCAGAGCCACAGAAGCTATTATTCAACCGAGTTGGACTAACAATGACAAGTAAACTGTTTTTGGTGTGTAAAAATGGGAAGGTCCTCTTTAAAAAGCCAATAAAACAAATTCAACTCATTGCTTGATGAGAAGACCAATATAAAAAGTGACAAAAATATAATTATTTGGCTTCTAGACACGCGAACCTAATGTAAAGAAAAATCACAACTTCTTTGAAGTAGAGCCAATTTACATACTAAGAATAAAATTACCAAGATTAAATCCACCTCCTGTACAAGTAAATGGAAAGCTGTACCCCAAGCAGCCTGCGTTTACCTTAAATTATGATCTATATGATCTATTTAGTGAGGTACAGATTCATGTGAGTTTGGTTTCTGACATGGACAACCTGCAGAGTCTACTGTTCTGTTGTTCGCATCTGTCTTAAAAGATTAGGGAATCACAAACAATCTAAAGTTTTACAGTGTTTTAAATCTCTTTCTCAGTGTCACCTCCTGACCACCCTCCTCACTTCTGATCCTCCGATCCACCCCGTCTACCAGGATTCAGAGGACAACTTTTATAAAGCCCTTCCTGTCCTTTCAGATAAGATCAATAATCTGCTGCAATGGGCAACTGACTGAGCATGCACACCCTCACGTATATACTGTACATGGCATCATTAAGAAATGATTTAGCAGGAGAGAACATTTCTCTCCCTTGTTTCTCTACCTCTTCAACTTGTCATTTATTTTCTCCTTTCTCTGCTTTTCACTCACTCACTCTCAGTACAAATGTTGGGCCACTGTCTAATATATGCTAAGCTGCTGCTGCCATGGTAACCCTGGTGCAGGATTTAGACCCAGTTCAGGACTGGAGGGGCAGTGTTTGAGGGGCAGGTGGAGGGGCTAAGCAGCCTCAACTGTAATCCCTCCACCCTCCAAAAAAGATATTATGCAGAAGGATACATTTGCAAAGACAGACAGATGTGGACAAGTGTATCGCCAGTGACAGACAGACACACACACACACCACTACTCCAGCAGAGGGAATAAACCCACATCATGCTGCCATAGCAGTAACGTAGGGGACACAAGTCGCTGGCTACCCGGTTGGATGGTAAGGGAGCAGTCGTGAGTGCAGACAGCATATTTCAGAGAATGCGGGTGAAAATGTATCTTTGTCGGAAGTGAGTGGTGACTAATATAAATAGTAAGGAAATGACTGCCAAATGAGTCACAGACTTAATTTCCATGTCTGATTGTACAATACATCAAAGGTGATCCCCAGGATCTCATCAGTTATACCTCACTGGCAAAGAGTAGAACAACTGTACTGTAGAGCAGATAAGTGACATCCTGACAGCACCAGCTAGCTGATCACAGGGATTGCCATGCACAGGGAAACCTGCCAAGAAGCCCCAAACAAAAAAGATTATTTTATGTTGTTTGTTGTGCGTGCATTTAATACCTCCACGTGTGACAGTAATGTTTGTCCTAAACATCCCTGTGAAGCCTGCATGCATACTGGATACAGAGAAGTCCATATATGTTTTTATGAATGTACATGCCTGAGGGTGTGTGCACTGACAATGTTCGGGTATGTGGCTGTGGGTGTACAGCTGTAGCAATGACGTAACTGGCTGAAAGCCGATACACTTGGCCCCTCTGTAAAGACAGTGGTTGCTGGAGCAGAGAGTCGACTGGCTCTGTCAGTAAAGGAAATCGCAATGAGGAGTTTCCAGTGGTGACAGTGATAGCTGTCACCTAGTTGCTATGGGTTGATGGGGTGTGGGTGGGGGTTAAATAAGGGGTGGGACAGTAAGTGCAAACTCACCCTACTGGCTCAGCTTTAGCTAAGGCACATCTAGCAATGTTTCACTCTCCTCTTCTGCATGCGCATACCCTGGTGTCATCTCTCCTTGAGGCAAATAACCCTCCCTTCCCACATGCACACTCCACTCCAAGCACCAAGCTGATTCTCCAGCTGTCAAGACCTGAGCATTTGATTCATATACAGGGAGTGTAATGAAAAAGAGGAAGACACATGCACAGAGAACACAAAAAGATAAGCTTTCTGTATGAGCAAGCACACACATAAACATTCAATCAAACACATTCACACAGTATCCATGCCCCCTACTCCTACTGTAACTATAAACAAACTAGCATGATCACAGAACCTCAGTCTAAGGTGTGGTTCTTCTGGCCACACACACAGACACTCTTCATCCCCTCTACTCTGATGGAAAACATTTGGGGCAGTCCGTTTTGGAGGGTGTGCACCAGTCTTACCTGTCCAAGATGTCATGACTGGACGTGGCTGTGGATCCCAGCAGTCCTAGTGCTGCACTTCCCACCGCTGCAGCAGCCCCGCTGCCTGCCTCCATGATACTGACTCACTGCAACGAGCAGCCTGCCAGAGAAATGGAGAGGGAGGGGGGACGGAGAGAGAGGTAGGGGAGGGGGAGGATGTGAAGAGGTAGTTCAGGATGGAAAAACACAAATGAGATAGAAGAAATCACATGTGGAGGCAAGAGGGAGGATGATGGAGGAGAAAAAAGCAGAGGGAGAGGGGAATGTGTGCAACAACAGGAAAGGAGACAAGACTGTGAACAAGATGCATGTTGAAAATGAGCGGGAAGATTGGCATGGGAGCAGGATGACATAGCAGGGTAGGGGAACAGAAAGAGAAAACAAAATCATTAATTGTGTGTGGCTCCAGTAAGTCATGCTGACAGAGCTTTGCAATGCAGGATTTCACTTTAGTGTTAACACACTGAGATTCTGGCGCACATATTCTAGTGTAAATCAACAGTTAAACATTGGCTTCCCTGCTGCCCTGTGGTGACTGTGCTCTCTGAGGTCTCTGTCCTCAAACCCAGAAATGCAATAGCCAAACCAAATTTTCCAGCCAAACTATTTTTTATCTAACCTGACACCTTCTCTACCTCATCCACAGTAATAATACAGCCATTACTAGAACCTTGTTCCAGAGTGCTCCAAACCGACATGGAGTGCCAATAGTGTCTCAGATGTATCACACCTTCACCAAGCCAGCTCCTCGCACTGTTTTCACCCCAGGCCTGCTAACAAAGCCTTATTTACTGAAAATACATTCATAATGTGATCCCCAGGGGCAGGGGACTCGAGTCAGACTTAAGTTGCCAATCTGAGGACTTGAGACTTCCTTGTCCATCGTATCTTAAAGACCTCGTAGAGCCTTATCATCCTAACAGAGCACTTCGCTCTCAGAGTGCAGGTCTGGGGGGCGGCTGTGGCTCAGGAGGTAGAGCAGGTCATTTCCTAACCGGAGGATTAGTGGTTCAATTCCCGGCTTGTCCAATCAACATGTTGAAGTGTCCTTGAGCAAGACACTGTACCCCCAGTTGCTCCCGGTGATGTCACCTGTGTGAGTGTTTGGGAGTGCGAATGGGTGAATGGCCAAATAGTGTGAAAGCGCTTTGAGTGTGCTGTAAAGCATAGAAAGGCGCTATACAAATATAAGACCATTTACGACTCGCATGTTGACATTTGGCACGTGTTTTACGCCGGATGCCCTTCCTGACGCAACCCTGATTTGAACCCGGGCCGCAGCGGCGAGAGCGCTGCACCTTAACCACTAGCCAATCGGGGATGGCTCCCTTGAGACTTCCCTGACTAACAATGATAAACTACACAACTTGACTTTGAATTGATATTCATGGCCTGAGACTTGCCAGACTTGAGACAGATGATGCAGGATGTAGCTTTGGAGGGGCCTAGTCCAGAAATAATAAAATTTTGATTCAAGGATTATGTCGTCAATGACAGTAGTAAAATGAAGAGCAGTATGCAAAGTCTGCAGCGCAGAAATCAGTGACACGACCACAATATACAGCTTCATCCATCACTACAAAACTCAAGCAACACTACGTGAATGTAGCTTTTCAGACAACACTAGCTAACTTATTGGCTGGTCAAACTTTAGCTAGAAAGCTATTGTTAAGTTTATAATGTTAGGGCAGAGACACACCAAGCCAACTCTTAGCCATAGGCCACTGTCAGGTGGTCAGAGAATACCTGTCAGAGGCTTTTTTTGTTTAACAGCTAAGGGTTAGTTTATAGCCTACAAATGCACAATTAATAATCTGTGGTTTGTGAACGTTTCACTTAAATATGTGATATTCCTGTAACAGCAGCTATTACTAGTCCCAGCAATCATCACAAATTAGCCTCCAGACTGAAATAAAAGCAAGAGATAATGAATGAATACAAATCTTGTTAACAATATTTATTTCATTTATAACAATATTCATTTCATGCCCTGACAGTAGTCCTAAAACTGTGTTGTAATTTTGTTTTCAGCTATAGCGCTATAGAGCTATTATATAATTTCCAAACCCCACTCACTTTTGTTGTGAACTTAGAAGGCTTGCTACTGAATGCCACAAAATATCAAATATCAGTAAGATTTGTAAGGTGTAACCAAGCTGCAACACTTTTTGTTAATGATTAAAATAAAAACTTTTTGTGACCAGTCTTTTAACTGATTTAAGTGTGAAAACTGGGGTAGCTCAGCATAATTTTGTAAGACTTTACTTGTGATTTGCTTGACTGACATTCAACTTGCTTGATTCTCACCACAGTAATGTGGGTCTTGCTTGAGAGGTGAAGATTAAGACTTGAGACTTGCACATGTGTGATTTACTCCCACCTCTGGTGATCACTTCACATCTATATCATACCTGCACTTATTGGCAATACTAATCTGTTATTTCTTGTTTGTGCCTTCTCTTTTACTTACACTGTTGATCCGAGGAATCTAAGTATCAGTTTATCATACAAAAAAAATTGATTGTTCTGCATGTGTGTCAACATGTAGGCTACAAGGGGTGTGCGATAGCCTGTTCACAGAAGACACATTTGAAAAGGGAAATGTAAGCATCGTTTGAAAACTTATAAAAAATTTAGCAAAGATCCAAACTGGTGTCAATCATAACTGTGTCATTCAACTATATGATTATCAACTAGTCATGCCAGCCTTTAAGTGCATGCTTAACTATTTTACTTCTCCCAAACTGTGGTACAAATCAGTAAATACAAAGAGAGGTTTCTGCTAATGAGGCAACCAGTTCTCATTTGTTATCATTTTTATGTATGCATACTACTTTATAGAGACAGTACATGAATTGGTGCCTGTTGTTCAAAGCTCACATTTACTGTGATTAAGGTTACTTCTGGACCACCAACAGTGCTCATCTCCTACCCAATGAATCATCACTGTACCCATAATCACAGCAGAAAACACCCTGTCGTGTATTGCTATAATGCGAAGCACCAAATGACAACCTCCATATGAAACCCAAATGTCACGCTGTCAGCAGATGAAACAAAAACATGTTGACAGGAACACAACATGAAGAGACCCAATGAAACAGTGGAGGAAAAGTCCATACAGCTCTTTTCTGTGTCAGTCAGTGGCTATGTGCTGTAATCCCATGATGTCAAGAGGAGAGAGATGGTGGGCAGGTGGAGGGGTGAGGTGTGAGGTGGCTGGGGTTGGGGGGTGAGGGGTCACAGGGGAAGTGTTATAGGCGTGTATGATACAATCACATTGTGATGAGTCCAGTGGCTTCATTCATTCATTCATTCATTCATGTTAGCCATTCAGCATGGCAACAATATGAATCATGAGCGATTAAGCCTTGCTCTGGACCAATCAGAAATTATCTCACCTTGTTTTGACCTTTGAGCACCTGTGGCACGAGAACATCAAGACATCCTGGCTGTGTAAGTCTTAATGGAGAAATTATAAATACATGTGGCTCTATATGAGCTCAGTACAAGAGTTTATCTATAGTTAAACTGAGACAGTGTTGATCAGACAACTATAGCACATGGCAATATCGACCACTATGGACAAGTGAGTGATGTTACATGAAGGCACGGCGAGTTGTGGACATAGAAATAGGCTAGATATTGACATTCACCTCATGTCCTGGGTCACTGTAAACTCTGGCTCTTAAATCTTCAAACACACACACACACACACACACACACTGTATAAAGGTAGGATATTGGCTCAACCTGACATTTAGTTTGTGTTTTTGTATTGCAGTGCCCATACACCTATACTGTGGGGGTGGAAATACACATCTCTTTGGAAATTGTGTGTAGAGGGTATGAAGTGTGTGCATTAGTTAAAAAAGGAAGTGAGTTTGTGCATGCTAGACAGACAAGCTGGGCAAAGCAGGCTGAGTTTCCCACAAAATACCTGATGCAGCAGAAAACCTACAAAATGGCTGACCTTGAGGGAAGACAGAGACTCAGCTCAGACGAGATTAAAAAGTCTACGCAGTAAACATTCTCATGGCAGCATAACTTAAAACAAACTTGTTCTCTTTTGAATCCAAGATTGTGGCTTAGCACAGGTTTGAGTCAGAAAATAATGAACTGCTCCAAAGAGGGATGCACCAATACGAAACCAATATTGGGTATCAGTTCCAATACCACCCTCTAACACTTGTACTCATACTAGTTAAAGTTGTCAAATACTATGCACTGATACAACATAACAGCAGCATTACATTAACCTCATGCTGGTTGAGCAGGTCATTAGGCGGTGGGGAAGACATTTCAACAGTTTAAGGATACTTTTAGATAAGTGACAACGACAAAAGTAAAGCAAAATGCGAACTCTGCTTCTCTGTGACATGGGGAGGGAGGGGCGCGCCTAGACCCACAGTAGAGCAGAGACAAGGTTGTATTTTATTAACCCTATAAAGCCAAAAAATTAGAATGTTCTGGCTATTTTTTGATATGTTGGGCTTTACAGGGTTAAGAGGTCAATGTTCAATATGTGCAATGAAATCCAAACATAAAATACCTGGTTCCATTCATTCACTAAACCCATATGGTGCTTGTTATGCTGAAGGTAGTGAGCAAAAAGAAAACAATGCCAATTTTATCTAGTTAACAAGTCTAATGAGCTCTGTTTTTATGATGACATGTCTGTTAGTCATTGGCCCATATGCACCAGTGGAATTTGTGTTTACTATCCACAAGAGAAAACCAGTCAGATAAAATGTCAATATATCCAGTTAGTAAAACTAAACAGATGACACACACAGCTCAAACAGAGACCTGTACTTTTGCAGTAAAGTGTTAATTCTGTGAACCTATGAGACAACATTCGTTCAAAGCACTGAAAACTCTGAAAACAAGACTAACTTGAAAAAAAATAGCTTTAAAAATACAGATATATTTATCGTCAGTAAAAAGAAGGATGAATGGACAAATGAATTTTTTAATTTGAAGCTATGTGCATCTGTGCAGTGACACTTTTCAATCCATGGATGTACACTGAGGTCAGCTCTTTTTAGCAAATTGCATAATGTTGAGAAAAGGACAACAAAACCCTCTAAGACAAGCCACATAAAGGTGAGGTTTGTACTTTATTATAAAATGTTTTCAAACACTGTGGTCTACTTTTATAAGAGAAAAGACAGTCACAACCATGTGGTTGATTCGCATGACCTCATGTTGTGCGAGTCCGGTTTGTTTAACTCTGTTTAAGTACAATGCACAGCCGTTTAACTGACTGTTTCTGTGACATGCATCCATCCAA